TGCTCTGTTACCGCGTAGGGATGGTTACCAAAATGACAGTGTAGAACCTGTGATTTGCACTGATAACACGGGTTTATTTTCTCATGAGCAATTATTCTTCGTGTCTGGACACTAGTTTGCAATGGTGATTCAATTGCGCGCATGCACAGCCAGTAATAGGTAGACTCTCTTGTGCAGGACAGGAGAAGAGGAACTCGTACTAGATTGCCACTGTTATTTCGAGATGCCTATATCTTCAAGTAAACAGTCACTCTAAATGGGGTTGATCCTACCACCGACTAGCTTGATTTACCGTACATGCTCGGTGTGTCAAACGTATTTATTTCCTATCCAACTATCGTTCATCAACGCCAAATGATCACCCATTTAACTAGCTTTCACCAATTTTGCAAAATTCTAAATATCCGCGAGACTCATTAACACTCTTGTAACTCGTAATTATGGGGTTGTTGGGGCATACGCATCATTCTCTCTGTTTGTCAGTCGCCTTGCTGCTTCTTTCGCTGTTTCCGGAAAAGAAACGGTAGGTCGGTAGAAAATAGTATCTGCTGCTTTTCTGATGACAATTCGTTTGAAAACGGACTGCTACAGAGTAGCCGGCCGGCTGTACCGCTCTCATGGACTCCTCGTACTTTGTTCTGTCAATCACTTTGACTACCCTACTTTCATTGCATGTGTTTGAACTTGTTCAAACTTCAGTTTTGAGGAAAATTAATTGAACATTTTTTTCAATTAGCAGCAGATCAGGGAGGGGGGAAAGAATGGTGGCGAACAGTTAGAGGATACTACCAAGTACTCTCATTTACACATTAATTTGGTGAGAGAATTTGATGAGAGAATCAACTGATTCCACCTACTCTCTCGTTTATGATGAAGAAAAAAATCCTTCAGCTGTAGCACCCTTTCGGTGCCCAACTGCCATGCCATCCAAAGGTTGCACGAGGGCTGGGATACTGCTAGGTTGCCCAAGCCTAGACAGGGGGAGTTGAGGGGGCAGAGGTCGGGTTCGAACCATGGATCTTCCGGTCAGTAAATTCGCATTGTAAACACTTGAGCCATTTTGATGAAGATGACCATCATAAGCGAGCAGATCAGCTGGATTCAGTTGAGTTTCCCGTCAAAACCAAATCAGTGTGTAGATGGGAGTGGTTGGCGAATTCCATGCAGTGTGGGTTTAAGCAGAACCTAAGGTTGATAGACACTTTCGGACTGCGCCAACCTGACGACCCTCAAAAAGGTCGAAACCGGTCGTGGGTTTTCGAAGAGATTTCAGCAGCCTTATGAGTAGTATGTTAGCCCAGCCGGGGAATATATTCATTTGACTTTTTCCGCTATTATCGCTTCCATCAGTCAGCTTGGTCGGTTGTGAATTTTATTCCATAGCCGAGCAGGCGGAATTCTAGTAACTTGAAAATAAGCTCCGGGAGTGCCTATATGCTTCTTCTGTAAAAAACAAAACCAATATGTAACTGGACAGTGAACTACTCTGTTCTAGTAGGTTTCCTGAGTTCTCATTCCTCGCATTATTGACCAAATAAAAAGCAGCAATCGATTCCAAATAGTGTGGTACGTGCTATGCACTTTCTAATTTGGTTTTTGTTGTTGGTGACCCGGTGGACTCAGTACAGTATTTCCAGCCAGCTCACTGCTGTGAACACATCATTCACATTAGTACAAGCAAAGCTGTTTTTCCTTCAGCAAATAAGATGAATTGAATAAAAGCGGGAGTGACAAGAAAAGAGTCAAGAGCCACTGTCACAGCTTTGTGCGTTGAAACTACATTGTTTGGTAAGCTCATGTTAAACTCAGCTGACTCCTTTGCAGAATCGTTTGACTCACTCCAGTTCGGCACTGCTGATTTTTCAACAGTTCTCAACAGCTCCAGTGCATCAAACGAACATGTACTAGGTATCGATTTTTACGATTTTCTCGTTCCACTTCATCTCTTCGTTAATCGCTTTTGTCGCTTTCAAGGTATGTTTACAAACGCCTCCGTTTCCTGGGCAACAAACAACTATCTCAGTTGTGCACTCTGACATTCCTCGCGTTGTGGCACGGAACATATACGGGCTATTTTGTGAATTTTGCCCTTGAATTCATCATTATCGCTGTGGAACGAGATGTGAGTCCTTGATTGTCTTTAGGTCCTCTCATGAATTGTTCCCGAAATCTACACTTTTCATGGTTTAGAATTACCCATTCCGTCATTCCAAACCGGTTTGGAGCTTCGATTGGAAATCGTCACAATTCTGATAGCTGTTTGTTTGGGCAAATCAAATTGTTTTTGTTACTCTTTGATACGGTATGGGTCTCTGAGGTCCAACGTCGCGGAGTACAACTTTGCTGTTGTACCAACTGCCTTCTGGTATTTTCTGCGTGTGTTATTACACTGACCAGTTTGGAAATATATCGAAATATCGGTGACTCGTCTGCGTTTACTGGTTGTTGATCAGGTGACTGTTGGTCTGTTCGCCAGGCCTGGCAAATAGCTTACAAAACGTTCCATCACCAGTTGGGGTGGTATCAGCAATGCACCGTTGGGCGTGGTAGTTTTCACAGGTGACAGGCGCGCTTTAGGTTGATTAGCCTATCCGAAACATCTTGTTTCCAACCGATTTCCTGGAGGCCGGTTAGTCCAATGGTTGTCCTGAACTATCCCATCTGTTGTACTTTCCGTCGTCCACACGCTGTTGTTTTTCCATTACTTAACACCTCACACCCTTTTCTTTTTCATACAGTTTATTCTGATAGTGAAACGTTCCAAGTTTGGTGACTTTTTGTACAAAACCACTCCAGGTTTTGTACTGACAAGTGTTACGGGCAAATTGCACGTTCTCTTCATGCTTGCCACCCCCTTGACGGCATTCTATCTGCTACAATACCATTTGTGGTTTCCGGTAAGACTTTTGTTTTTTCTTTATGGCCGCTTTATCATGCCATTTCTCGCATATCCATACAGTGCAACGTACGTGGACTGGTAACGCATTTAGCTCCTTAGACTCATGTGTCAATATTGTTAGATCAAACGATGTTTGCGCTTTGTTCGTCAAGACTAGCCTATTGTGTAAACATTTGAGACACATGTTTGCTCCAGTCCGGCAAATGGTAGTACGTTGGCGTATTCATGCTATGAACATCGTTCGTCCCTGGATTTCTAACTGAAGTGGCTCTTTGAATGATGGCGCTGTTAGCTCATCCCGACATCCATTGGGCTATTTGGGAAGCTCAGTTCGCGTTCCTTGGCAGGGAATGATAATCTCGTGAAAAGTCTGTCAGTTTGGCCGAACCCGTCAAACCGCGATGGAGGTTGACCGCTGAATGTGCCGCGCACGAGGTAGCACCTAGTTGAAAAAGTTGAAGTGGGCTTGTGATTACGTGTGTCCAATCAAATAAGGTTGAGTTCGGCGCAAACACCCGGATTGGCTCTGACAACAGTTCCTATGAAAATGGCACTTGAAACATGACTTATCTAACGACCCTCTCCGATACTATATTGTAGTTGTGTACGGATTTTACTGTTTTAGGCCATAGTCATGGAATACTGTTTACCTGATGCAAGCATCAAAATAGATTCCAATTGGGGGATTCATGCCTGTGACCTCACATGTCGGATACGTATGCCACAAGCTGAGCCGCTCCGGGAAAATGCTCACATGTGTGTTAACTCCACATGTAGCTCCCAACACACTATAAGTCAGTGGTCGCGCCGCTCACCATCCTTACGTGACTACAAACTTTCCATTCCCTTTACGCATTGTAAGGCTGTCGGATTTGCTTGCTTCGTGAGGTCCTTTGCATCCGGAATGAATGGTTGCTGTCCATGAGAAGGATATTGTTACAAATAACCTCGTATAGTCATAGACTATTCACGAGGTCGCTGAAAAACCCTCAACAGCCTATGATCTGTTTCCCCCTTCTTGAGGTTCTTCAGGGAGACTGAGAACATCAGCTGGGTTCCAGGTGAGTCTCCCCCTCAAAACCAAATCGGTATGCAGATCAGTCGAACCGTGGAGGCATGTTTACAGGACCCATTTTCGGACCTTCATGAGTTTTCTGAAATTGTTAACAAAGATAGCAGCGGTTGGTATTTAGTATTACTTCCAAATTTCAATAACAGCATCGGTGAAAGTGGTGGGATTACTTGTGAGTGTTTAGCGTCCTATCTCATGGGACCCTTATCGTGAGCAACTTGTCGCTAGTCCTTTATTAGTAGTCGTTTTGCGATATATTTTCTCGCCGATCATCCACTGTGCTCCTAGGATTGACCTTCAACAACCGACCGGTGATTCTAGAATTCTTCAAGGACAAGTTGACTCTTATGATCACATGTGTGTGTGAGTACGTTTCTAAAAGTCGAGTGTGTTGTTCAGCCAAATGTATTGGTCAAGCGACAGGACAACCAATAAACGGGTTGAAAGATCGTCTAGGTACTTGATAAGTGAGAGATGATAAAGCCGTTAGAATTTGGCTCCAATTGATTGTTTCACACCAGAATATATCTTTTTGGTTGTATACCGTGTACCTTATTACAAAGTCAAAAGTCGGGAACGTAAAGATCTTGGGCATGACTGAGAGACAGTCACTACTCCAAAATCCAGATCTATTTAGACGAAAGCACTTTACCCGAAGTTTGTGTCTAGCCTTGCCTAGCGAGAATCAAAACTCGACACTAAGTCACCGGACTTTGTCCGCACACGTTTTGTCTATATGACCCGTTATAGATTAGTTGGCAGCAATGAGCCGGCCAGGTAACTGTTTTCTGTTAACTAACTTGGCGACCACTTATTTCCGTTTCTAATTTCTCCACGATTCTCATAAGGCTATCATACTAAGTTTGAAATGTATTCCAGACCCTGTAACCTTGTTCTTTCATCGTTGCCTTTCAGCGCTGCCTTTCGGCGCTGGAAATACTACTCACCTTCTGTTGTATTGTCCTGGTTTGGATGTTTCTTCAACACAATGTCTTGTTTGCTTTGATCGTAGGGCTCACCTTGCACGTCTCGTTCTTACATTTGAGGTTGTTTACCTAGAGACTTAGTGTCATGCTTCATTCGAGGAACTTACGATTATCTATCACTGCGTTCGTACTTCATCCATACAGAGTTTCACGGGTTTACTTCAATCATCGGTTAAGATCTTTAGGCTTTTGTTTCCAACTGCTTTTTTTTTACTGAGATACTCATTTTTGCGAGCATTCTCTCCCATTCTATGTATGGTCAATTTGGGATGTTTATCACTCCTTATCCGTTGATTCTTTCCGAAGGTACTGAAATCAACCTATTTCATCGGGTTCATCTACGTCCTTTGGCCCCTGCTGAGACCAATAGTGAAACGCATGTTCCCACGGAAAGTCAATGGGTCACAGTCTAACGGTGGTGCCACTCCTCAAAGTGATGATGACAAATCAAAGACACAGTAGTGGCGGTGGAGCACGTCATCGATGTGTCTGTAACTTTCCTTCGCTCATGCCCTTTCCGCTCGAAAACTTAGTGTACCCTTGTTCCTCCTGTGGTTTGGCAACAAAGGGTTCGTCACGTTCGAGAGTAAACATGACAGTGTTGCGGTGTGTTTTCTACGTGCACTTACTTTTCGAATTAGACTATCGATCCACTGAGTCCCTTAGATTTTCAAGACCACGTGTGATCTGCTGCGCTCCATGTTGTTATCTGGCTCCTCTTCTTTTGTCTGTGCAATTCTTCATTCGGACACCTTTTCTGTGTTTTCTGTGTGTTTTTAGCGACCATCTTCGAGGCCTTATTCGACCCACAGTCTTGATTCGGTACTCAGAATTTGATTGTCCGTATACATTGTGCATTGTCACATTTGAAGATATTTCTTTCTATGTACGTTGCCTTTATTTTCACTCGCTAATGACTGGAAATTGTCAGATGAATGCAGAAACATCGTGCATGCATGTGGAATGGATATCCTAAATGCAGGAGCCCCTTAGTGAACAGCTTCAGAGCAGTAGCACTGGAACTTTTTTGGTGATTGAAACTGTTGCGGTAACTATATGTTTCCAACGTGTAGGCTCAAAGATTCGGACAAACACTCGCCCATTCCCCTATGCTTGTGCTGCGTTACCCAGGTGACTACTTTTGTTGATTTGTATCGGTCCCAGAGCCTTTTTCGCATTCCTCGTTCAGTTCAGCTGTAGCACCCTTTGGGTGCCTAACTGCCATGCAACCCGAAGGAAGCACGAGGGCTGNGCCAGGTTGCCAAGCGTAGACAGGGAAAGTCCAGAGGCAGAGGTTGGTTCCAACCCACGCACCTTCCGGTCAGTACACTCGCGCTCTAACCACTTGGGCCATCTCGAGACAGGATGTCTACTGTTTACTTTGGAACCCCGTAACGATGAACTCATAGTGTTCTGGCGAAGTTTTGTTGCAACGAAAATGCGCTTCGATTTGCATTTATATGACCCCCTCTTCAGGAAGCATTTGAATTATTGCTTAATAAGAGTGCCATATGGGACAACGAGGGGCAAACCAAATAGGACAGGTTTTAAGAAATTACTTCCGGTCAGGTAAATGTGGCTTTTGCTTGTCTTACCCAATCCAGCTAAATTCCTGCGATGTACTGGTTCGCAGTTGGCATGGTTAATATTGTCGAAATTCTGTCATTTCCCCGCAAACACGTACCGCGACTCATTGTAATGGGCACTAATGGTCTCTGAGCTGCTAGCAAACCGGCATTCACTGAAACTGCTTGGTTCAAATTGGTTCAGTATTCTTCTCTTTGAGGAGGTGTGCGAGTTCCACAATTGCAATTCCTTGCCGTAACCGAAGACTAAACGCTTTCTGTGTCCTCAGACGACTGATTAACTCATCCGTCCTAAGACACCGCAATCGAAGTGTCCTTGGTGAACAATCACTTTGAATATTTTGTCATCAATGTAGCTGGTGCACCATCTCACCTCTTAGTGAACTCTTCTTCACTAGACTTGATTTAGCCATTAATTTGAGGTGCCCCGTGGTTGCCAAATTGATCGATGGTAAGAAAACTGAAAGAGGTAATGTAGCAACACATGGTTACTCAATAATTTCAACCCATGTCATTCTTACCTCGAGCGAGGAAACACTGGACTCGAGGGTCACAAGTAGTCGAGAATTGTCCGGAACTCCAGGGCCACCCGGATGGTTAATGGATCGTGCGCGCCTCAGAGACGTGTCCCAATACTTTCACCCCACGTGTTACATGTCGAAAGTCCGAACCCCGGTCTGGTCATGGATAGGCACCGAAAGCAACTGAAAGCGCCTTCACATTTCGGTGCAGACTAACCAGAATACACATATCAGCACAAAAGTATGACTTTGAACCAGAAGTGTTTGTACGCAAATCCTACCAAAAACCAACGCAATAATTATCGAGTTTCCGATGTTCATGATTCTGGTAGTATAAGGCCGTAGCTTTATGATGAATTATCTTGACTAGACTTCTGGTATCCCCTCGTTTTTCGCACACATGATCACCAACCGTACATTGAGCGTCCTGGTGCATAATCCAATCAGTTTCACAGCATAAATCTTATAGTTCTACCTGTCTTTAAGGTCCCGTAGCAGTTATCACCAGGTTACCGCAAGATCTCTGTGCTACCCGCTGTGGCTAACCGTGCTGATTGGATGAGAGCTTCGTAATCCTCAACAAAGTACTTGAATTAGCTGGTCTCCGTTAAACGCGTCCTCCGGCTTTATTGGCAGGTCCGCTAATATTGCGACGTATATGAGTATATCTACAATGTGACCGCCCTAGGATTCAGCTGGAACGATATTCAAGCTGTCAAAGTGTTTTTTCTTCCTGTGATGGAAACCGGACAACCCACTGTACAGTTTTGCATTCTTTGGGCTCATCGGGTAGGCTTACTCCTAGAGTTTCCGCCATTCAGTTGGATAATATTATAAACGAGAGATTCAGTTGAATCTGCCGGTTACACCGACTTAATTTATAACTGGGTGCTTATCGTCACACATGCGTTGTTGCTCAAGTGCGAAATGACTGATGGAAATTCGGGGACTAGGCCTACCTGATAACCCCGAAGACGAATGAAATCAATAATGAGCTGTTCAGTTTTCGTCGGCCTTATGAATAGTGTCATTTGAGGGGCCGGTTACACCGACTTAATTTATAACTGGGTGCTTATCGTCACACATGCGTTGTTGCTCAAGTGCGAAATGACTGATGGAAATTCGGGGACTAGGCCTACCTGATAACCCCGAAGACGAATGAAATCAATAATGAGCTGTTCAGTTTTCGTCGGCCTTATGAATAGTGTCATTTGAGGGGAAGCACTTCAACATGCTGAGTGTTGTTTTAGCTGAAACGTGAGACAACCTTTGTGTAGGACATACAATAGAAAACCGTTTACATATGAAAATCCTGTTCCATTTTCCCTTTAACACCAATCTGACATGTATGTGTTCTTCTTGGAACATTTCCTGTTTTACTTTGTTGTTCTCGAAAAGCTTACCCTCTTGTTTTCTTTCAATCAAAATAGATCGCTATGGGGTAAAAAAATGGAGAATAGCTCATTGCCCTATCGACGGAGTGCAAAATGCTGCACCCCATGTCTACAGTCTTTGTCGAAAAAATTCGGACAACGCGTTCCATCGATGTATAACTTGAGAAATGACCTCTGTATTCAGTAGTGATTAACGAAGGTCTACTTCGATATGACACTTTTTCAGGCATCTCAACTGATCTAACCGATCACTGAAAAAAGAAGTCTGTTGACTGTGTAATTATTGAAAAGAGTGGATACCGTTTCCAGTTGAGACGGTCTCCAATCCCAGGGATTCTACCAGATTATCATCAGGTCACCGTCACACTTGTCAACGTGAAGAGAGGCAGCGTCGGAAGGGCAGTTTGTAGTTGTTTAGGTGAATGTTACTGCTACCCGACGGCACACCACTGGCACAGCCGTGTTTGGGATAATAGAAGGCTTGAACAAACTTTGGACGTAGAAATATGATGACATCCTGATAGGCACTGTAGAATGTTAGATAAATTTATCAGCCTTTTAGTTGTCGCTGACTTTATTGAACAGATTTTCATGAAGTCTCGATTCCAAAACGAGATACGCTATCATTAACCAGGTGAGTGGCATACTGTGTGGTAACGGTGAAGCATCACGCATTGTGCGCGTGACCTGACGGACTACATTTGTCTGATTGGCTGACAGTGTCTGCTGGTCACGTGGTCACTTGTTCTTAACCCGTTTTCTATCATGCACTTTTGCTTTAGGAGCTAATGCCACTCAGTGCGCGTATGGTGCATGTCACTTTCCTTGTCTTCGCTGCTCTGCTGGCTTGGTCCGGGCAGCTACGGGAAACAATCTCGCAACTGCCTACAACTACCTTACTTTCGCCGATCCAAATCGGCAGCTTACCTTCGCCAGTTGCCAGCTTGTAATTTACAACAAACTTCCGCCTGCTTGTTGTTCTTCTTCGGACGTTTCATCTCCGAGATCCGATAAAGCCTGTCGACTGTAAATACCCGAATAGTTGATGGTGGTGCAATACAATTATTTATCGAAATGAACCTTCACTGCTAAGTGCCAGTACTCCCAGGTCACCGTTGTGTCAGTGCTGAGTCAATCAAGCTGTTGGGTCAACTCGGTCTCTGCTAGACCTTTTGATTCAGGACCACTGTGACTTCCGAGTATTCGGTTGTGAACAGGTCCAAAAGCTTATCAGTCAGTTGCGTGTTTATGCTACAGAGAGAACACCAACAATGGATATCTAATGAGCGGAAAGTACACCCTGATATATTTAGGGAAAATGCAGTTTACGAGAGGCACCACGCGTCGTCGACTCTGTCATGTCAAATTTCAAGACAAAAGTCAGCTTGTACGGGATCGACGCAATCGATTCTACGTTGTATATATGATTTGAGTATAGCAACGGGTAGCCAGCTTCGTGTAAGGTTGTACTGTCTACTAGCAAGTGGGGTCTCCAGTGGTGATCGTTACCGACTAAAGGCTAAAGTTACCGTACCACCTGCAGCGAGGACGCACAACCGACTAGCTTAACAGCAATGGGACAGTCACAGTTCACGGCAGTCAGTCTTGTTGATCCTGCTGCAACAAGGTGGTTGGCGAAGTCAGGTCAAAGTATGACAGGCCGCAGAACCACGAAGAGAATTACTCGAAAAGAAGCATCTACAGTAATTTTCTATGAAAAAACCAGCTACGTAACTAACTCGCCTGAACTTTTTCAAAGATTTGCATACGTAGCAAGTTGGGTGAAAAACAAGGAAGTCGGAGTATGTTCTTTTTGCTTGGGTTGCAATTATAGAAGCATATCAAAAGCCTTTTAACTTCGGTATGAATGATCCACCCAAATACATCCATTCCCCAAATGAAGTATCAAAGGATGGCACTCTGCCTTTTGAAGTACTCCCTGCGGAACCTCTGGATGGGATAACCTTGTCCGTTAATCACCCAGGTCGCCGAATTTGAATTTAACCAATTAACCTGGGGACTAAATCCCTTATGACCTTTGATGAATGTGGGTGCACCCTGGAAAGTGGTATCACCTTTATAGCACCAGTACTGTTATGTAGTCAGATCAAAGCGAAACGTGGGAACTTGTAATATCTGGAATCGGGAATTTTCGCCTCATGTCAACCACAAATATGTCAATACAGCAGAAAGGCTACCGACAAACGAGCGACAAGTTCTTGAATGCATGCACATGGAATATGGTATTTTGTTCACTAACCTTCAGATATCACGGAGCTGTGCTCTCAGGTAGCGACGTAAGCAATAATTATTCCTAGGACAGTGTGCACTATCTTCATCCTG